CGAGGTTTTCAAAAGTATCCCTGAGTTGTCCGATAACCGGGCTATCCCAGGGATTTATTTAGTAGGGTTCTATAGAGTCGCCACCGATATTTTTACCATAAACATCGGAAAAGGGGTTTAAAAAGGCGTTGGTTTTCGAAAACCAACTTTGGTCATTAGAACCAGAGTTGGGTAAGGGAGTTAGTTACGTGTAAAGGAAGTGTTAGTTCCTTTACAACGCCCTTTCGGGTTCCCTATGATAGGTCAGGCTAATTTGAATAAATAATTAAACTAGAAAAAATAGCGCTTTTACCCTTTTATTACACTGTATTTAAATTTATGACTACATGGCCCTAGCTTCTATTGCGTAATTTAAATGGCGGTAAAATAAATAGAGAGGGAGAATATGCACCTCCAAAGCAAGCTTTTATATTTCTTTAAAGAGAGGGTGCGTTTTGGCAACCCTTCACTCTACAAACTCTCGGAAAACTCCGAAATGCGTCTGAGGGATCCTAAAGAAGATTTAGAACGCTCAAAAATGCTCCTAAAGACACTCGAGTCTCCGAAAATGCTTCTGAGGGATTCTTAGAGAGAGAAAGTCTAGAGAGAAGGGAGAGCTCGTGAATTCTCTCGTGGAAATGAGGGGGGAGAGCCCCTATTTATAGTTTTTCGCGCTCGACAGTCAAGACCGCCGTTTCCTTCGACAGGGGTCGAGACCGCCGTCCGGAAAATCCGCACCGCCGTCTCGCCTAGGCGGAGAGTCGAGACCGCCGTCTGGAAAATCCAGACCGCCGTCTCGACCTTTGCCGGAATCGAGACCGCCGTCTGGAAAGTCGAGACGGCGGTCTCGTCCTGGCGTTGAGACGAGACGACGGTCTGTTCCTTCCAGACGGCGGTCTCGTCCCTTCAGGGCGAGAAACTTTATTTTTCGGGCCAAAAACCTTCCTATCTTAATACGGGGGCCTAATAGTCTCTCCTAGTGGCTTGTTAGGCTTTGGCCGTCTTCAAATAGGAAGCTTTCTGACTTTATTCTGAGGCCGGGCAAGATTTGGGGTCTACAGCCCTTGTCGAAAAGCAAAGCGGAAAACAGATAAAGGTTCTCAGGAGCGATCGAGGCAAAGAGTACACCTCCCACCAATTTGATAAATTCTGTGAGGATGAAGGTATTGAGCGACAACTTACAGTCGCATATTCTCCATAACAAAATGGTGTCTTAGAGAGAAAAAGTCGCACTGTCATGGAGATGGCAAGATCAATGTTGAAGGAGAAAGGCTTGCCAAATACGTTTTGGGCAGAAGCAGTTTACACTGCTGTATATATACTCAATAGATGTCCAACTAAGGCAGTTCAAAACAAGACTCCTATTGAATCTTGGAGTGGAAGAAAACCATCAGCTAAACACCTACGAATATTTGGATCAATTTGCTACATACATGTTCCTGATCAGAGGAGGCATAAGCTTGAAGACAAAACTATAAGAGGAATATTCTTGGGATACAACCAACAATCAAAAGGCTATCGAGTCTACAACCTACAAACAAAGAAACTCGTCATCAGTCGAGATGTTGAGGTTGATGAAAATGCTTTTTGGAATTGGGAAGAAGAAAAAGTTGTTAGAAGCAACATCCTGGTTCCAGTACAACAACCTGAAGAAGAAACAGGAGATCCAAGTATGCTTTCTCCACCTCCACAAGAAGAAGAAGAAGAATATACTTCACCAGAGTCTACACCAAGACGTGTAAGATCTTTGGTAGATATATATGAAACTTGTAACATGGCCATCATTGAGCCTTCCTGCTATGAAGAAGCTTCAAAGCAAGAAGAATGGGTCAAGGCCATGGAAGAAGAAATCAAAATGATTGAGAAGAATAATACTTGGGAGCTTGTGGACTGTCCTCACGGAAAAGATATCATTGGAGTAAAATGGATATATAAAACTAAGCTTAACCCTGATGGAACCATACAAAAATATAAGGCAAGATTGGTCACAAAAGGATACTCACAACAACCTGGGATCGACTACAATGAGACTTTTGCTCCAGCTTGCTCGCTCGGATACAATTAGAGCTTTAATAGCCCTTGCTGCACAAAAGGTTGGAACATCCATCAACTGGATGTCAAATCGCCTTTCTCAATGGAACACTTGAAGAAGAGATCTATGTTGAGCAACCACAAGGCTTCATCAACAAAGGCCACGAAGGAAAAGTACTAAGACTAAGAAAAGCTCTATATGGCCTGAAGCAAGCTCCTCGAGCATGGTATAGTAAGATTGATAAATATTTTATCGATCAAGGATTTAGGAGGAGCAAGAGTGAGCCAACACTTTATAACAAGACACAAGGTCAGTATAATCTCATTGTCTCCTTATAGGTTGATGATCTCATCTATACAGGAAATAATAAGGAAATGATGAAAGAATTCAAAGAAGATATGATGAAAACATTCGAAATGACTGATCTTGGCTTGATGAACTACTTCCTCGGGATAGAGGTGATATAACAAAAAGAAGGAATATTTATCTCTCAGAAGAAATATACTCGAAGCTCTACTAAAGAGATTCAAGATGTACTGGATGTAAACCTGTCACTACTCCTTTGGTGGTAAACGAAAAGCTAAAGAAAGATGATGGAGCACTGTAGTAGATGTATCACGATACGGGAGTTTGATCGGAAGCCTTCTATATCTCACAGCCTACACGACCGTAAATTATGTATGCTACAAGTCTTCCGTCAAGATTCATGCAAAAGCCAAGTCGATTCACTATGGAGCAAGAAAAAGGATTTTAAGGTATCTGCAAGGCACAAGAGAGTTTGGTATATGGTACAAGACCATGACCAACTCAAGGATGATTTGCTACACCGACAGTGATTGGGCAGGATCAATAGACGACATAAAGAGTACGTCAGGATACGCCTTCTCACTTGGATCAGGTTTTTTCTCATGGGCATCATCAAAAAAGCAAGCAACTGTGGCACAATCAACAGCTGAAGCAGAATACGTAGCTGCTGCTGAAACTACAAGTCAAGCAATATGGCTACGAAGAATACTTGAAGAAATAGGCGAACCACAAGATGGACCAACTACTATCTATTGCGACAACAAATCAGCAATAACAATGACGAAGAATCTTATTCATCATCAAAGAACAAAACATATAGCTATTAAATATCACTTCATCAGAGAGGCTGAAACGACTAAACAAATTTAACTTGAGTACTGCACTACAGAAGATCAAATTGCAGACATATTTACCAAGGTACTACCAAGAGCCAAGTTTGAACAATTACGTTTCATGCTTGGAGTTATAAGAATTTGCATCAAGGAGGAGTGTTGAAAGATGATACAAATTCTAGAAAGATCTAGAATATAAAATCTTAGATGTTACTAGAATTAGGAATTACATATGAGTAATATCTAGAATCCTTAGAAGATTCTAGAAATGTTTGAAAGTAGAAGATAAATAATTCTAGAATTAAAAAAATCTAGAATTATGTAAAACTTCTAAAATTATGTAGAAAACATATGTGTACTAGTAGAAGCTACAACATGATTCTAGAAAAAGAAAAAAAAGAAGAAATGTGTAGAAATATAATAGTATAGAAACAATGAAATTAATAGAAAATTCTAGAATCTTATAAGTAAAGTCTATAAATAGGCATGAAGGGAGTCTTTGGTTGTGTGAAAAATCTAATACAAGCTACTATATATCTTGTAACACTTCTAACATCAATTATTATCTTCCCTCATACAAACCTTCTCCTATTTATCCATCTCTTTCTAAAAATTATTTTCTACACAAATCTCACTACTAAACATCAAACTATCTTTCCTATCCTTCCTAAAATACTAATAGAATTCCTCTCACTTGAATAGTTTATGTCACTAAATCCGCTATTCTTCCTCTTTCGACGAGCAAGGATGCGGAGTAAGTGAGAAAGAGATTCACCTTCGCGACCAGATGCTACCAAGGCAGGCACTCCCGAGTTAGCCCTAGTTTCCTGCTGCTAAACTCTTCCCCGCTTCCTTTCCTTTTTCTAACACATACTGAGACAGTTAGGAGTGAAGTTGCTGCTAGGATCCTAGCCAAAGGTTTCCCTGGAAGTAGTAGCCCCTGAGGAAGCCGAAGGCATACCCAGATAAGGATAAGTAGAGTTGGTATTGAGTTCATGGAAGACTAAGAATACCTTGTATTCAGTCTGATAGTGCTTTAACTCATCCCGTCATTTATTTCTTAGGATTGAGAAGGCAATGGCCTGTATGCACCCGGATCACTGCTTGTCTCTTTGAATGGGATTAGATCCGGAACTAAATCCCGTTTTGCATTCGAAGGAAGAGTTAGGCTAATCGATGTGTAGCTGACGGGTAGTTCAATTGGAAGGAAGTAGCTACCTATGATTTCAGAATGGAGTGAATAGCACATGAGTTAGATTAACCTGGATCTAGCTGCGACTGCCTTTCTTTTCTTTTCTTATAGTTATTACGACAGTTGCTTGTCTAGCTCAGCTGTCAGCCTTCCAAATAGACATGGGAGAGATCCTTACCAATACATTCTAGATCCGGCTTAAAAGACAAAGCAAAAAACATCTCTTCTATTTATTTATACAAATACAGATATCGATTGCTGCCTTGCACTTCCAACCGAAGATAAGATGCCAGGGACAAATGACTTAAAAAAATAAAAATTTTTCACAGATATGCTTAAATTAAATAAAAAAAAAAACGATTTGAGATCGTTTATCCAAGAAAGGCAACATCTATCGCAAACCTTAAACTCGTGATTGAACTAAATCTAAATAAAGGAGGCCATGAAGAAAAGAAGGTTTTTCTCACTACACGAGTAAGAAGTTACTAGCCGCCTATTCTATATCTATAAAGAGAGACGGATTTCGCCTACCACTCTACTGAGCTAACCAGAGCAGATGAGCATCTCTTTCAAGAAAGGATTGAACAAGTGATTAAACATTTGGTGGGGGAATCGACCCACTTTTTCAGATGATTTGTGGACGGATGGCAAATAGCCAATGCCGTTACCAATTCAACCTCTTGAGAGAGAGAGGCCCATGCTTTCCTTAGTTTGGATTTCGAGAGGTTGGTCCGTTTACCTTGAAAGCGATGCAATGGCAGGTTATGAAATACATTCAATTCAAATGGATGAATGTAAACGAGATTGATATCTCGTAGGAATTCCCTTTTATTTTTTATGTGATGCTTCTTATTTAGAGTTATTCAAAGACCCATCCTATTTTCGATTCTTTGAACTTGGCTTCTTACTATTGAAAAGAGGCCAGATGAAGTAACTAAAGCCCAATGCAGGTTGAACTCTCTTGAATCTAAGCCTCACTACCCTCTTAGAGCGTTACAAGGAATTTTGGGCCTAATGCAAGGCCCCATATGGATTCAGCTTAATAGATTCCGCTTAGGGGTTTATGAGAGATTGATTGATGTACCAGGTAGGATAGTGGGCTTAGTCAGCCCAACATAGGTTGTCCACCAAAAAGCGGAAGTTCCCGTGATTTAAGGTTTCTGGATATCCTACCCTAAGACGAGAGGGTTGGGCTTAGAACAAGACCCATCGGTGGATAAGATCACATCTTCATAACAAAAAAAAAAGGTGTACACGTTCGGCCTCACTCAAGGTAATGGTAACGAGTCCAAACAAATTGGATCTTATTGTATGGCAAAATCACAGATAGGTCATTTTTTCAGTCATTAATTTCCTCAAGCAATAGGGTTTTACCAATCCCAGCAGAGCCTGTGATGAACACGGATTTGCCCTGAAAAAAGGAAGTGGTATAAGGTGCGAACAACATTAGGATAGAGATATCCTCCGTGTAAAAAAATCATTCATCTGCCCGACAAAACAAAACACACTAAACCTCCATGAAAATTATTTTTAACAAAACTACTTTCAATAATGTAGTTAATTTAGTGGAGAAGAACAATGATATTTTCTGATCGATTTCGGAATCTGTCTTTGAATGATAGAAGAGATGTTAGTGGTTCTAGTTCTAGTGCTAGCTTTAAGAATCCTAATATACTTCCTAATTTTTCATCTACTGCACTAAACCTCCATGAAAAGTATTTTTAACAAAACTACTTTCAATGATGTAGTTAATTTAGTGGAGAAGAACAATGATATTTTCTATTTAACTGATCGATTTCAGAATCTGTATGTTAGTGGTTCTAGTTCTAGTGCTAGCTTTAAGAATCCTAATATACTTCCTAATTTTTCATCTACTGCAGCTATTTTAGAAAGATTTAAGGTTCGTACTAATCCTTCGTCGTTTACTCAGAAAGTGATAGAATTGACAAAAGCGCCATTTATTGATATACGTAAGCCAATTACTGTCGTTTGACTTTCGCTTTATGCCAGGACAAGGGGAATTCTTAATCAAAGATCTCCGAACTCCGGATAGCTTAGTGGGATTAAGAAAGTTAAGAGATAACCTAGGATTATCCTTAACAAAAGGAAGTCTTAGCACTCCATTACTAAAGTTAAAGGGTCTTTCTGACTCGGTTAGTAATATGATGCCATCGTTGGCATCTCGTATCTTGGTTGAAGCTATAACGTTTCATGAGGGGTATTACGGTCGATTCATAATCCTGGTGCATATGGGTATTGGTTGTACGGTATGGTATGGTTTCATTTTTGGCGATGGTATGACTATACCTAGTGAAGGATTATTACCCCTCTTTAGTCCTATCGAAAGTTATGATGCCTTCTTTACTAACTCGGATGTTCATGTTCAACCGGGCTTTAATAAGATGACTTTAGTTGAGGGCGTTGTCACAGGCATTTGCTCAAGAGAAGCCCTTTATGGATATTGATATAGAAATGCCGATATCTAATAAATCTATTCTTGTCGGTGTTAGCTTAGGACTAGCAGTTGCCATCTTATTTACATTTGGGATTAGTCCCTGCAGCGGAGAGGTTATAGTATAAAGATGAAGAACCAGATCATTTCTCTTTCTTTCGGAGCAATGCTTTCATCTCTTTCTCATATATTTCTTTAGGATAAAGTTTTCTCTATGCAAGAAGAATTACAACTATCAATGAAAATAGATAGTTAGTGAGTGCATAACCGATTCTTTATACGCAAATAGCTATTGGATGGGTCAAGCAGTATACATGGAAGTACCCAAGCAAGGCCCGTCCCAGAAATGGGGCGGGGAAGGAGAAGTGGGCATGTGGGTCTCCTTCACTTATTTTATTTAGTTTATCCCACTACGAATGAAAGACCAATGACACACCGATCTATCTTTTTCATCATCTCAGTGTTAATTTCCCACAAAATGATGTCTATAAAGGATTCCAAGGTTACTTTAACTACAACTACATACGCTAATTGTTGAGTAGATTTATTTAATTAACATGAACTACTCTTTATTAACTGTAAGCTAAGTGAAGTGGAGAGAGGAAGACCTTGGGTGGGGTCTTTCTCTCGTATCGAACTTTCAGATTAGTTCTTGTACTGCCCCGAGGGAAGCCCCTCAAAGGCGTATTGACGGGGCAGCAAAGTGTGAAGAGGGGAGCACTTACCCAAGGAGTGAGCACCTTAATGGCGAAGGGGAAGGGTGATTCAAGGTACCCAAAGACTTGTCTTAATTAACTGAAAGATTAGTGACTGACCTACGATAGTGGGACAGGAACGACAAGAAGGAGAGTTACTAGATACACCTAAGCAAGTGAGTGAACCTCGGGGGAGGGACACGAGCTATCCATTGCACCAGGCCAATAGCAAAAGCTAAAGAGAAAGAGAGCTAGAAGGAAGCAAGTGAGTGATGTGACGAAAGTAGCAAGTTCGTATTCAGGATAGAGAAAGAAATCAGCAAAGCGGATTCGAACCAGATCGCTTAGAGTTGGAGGCGATACTCCAACAACCAAACTACTAGAATTTTCTCGATAATAACTTACAAATAAATTATATTTTTATAAAAATAAATATATATCCGGGTAAATATATAAATATATAAATACAAATATATTTATATATTTTGATATATTTATATAATTATATATTTAAATATTTAAACATTGGATGTGAGAACACGCTCGAATGTGAAAGTGTGTGTCAAGTGGGTTTTCAAAATTTGATGCCAAATTTGTGAGCGGGTCTCTTTATATGAGTTTGTAATTTAATGACGAGAGAATAATCTTTATAATCTATTTATATAATGATATAAAATAAATTTGGGAAACGTGTCATTCGCTCAAACGAAAAATACAAATTTTCGCTCAAGTAATGCTTGAGCGAGTGAATTTCCGTGAGCTTTAACGTATTTTCACTCAAGCGAGAGTCAATCTCACTTTCACCCTCGAGCGCACCCTCACATTCAACATATAAATATATAAATATATAAATATATAAATGTATATAAATATATCAAAATATATAAATATATTTGTATTTATATATTTACACGGATATATATTTATTTGTATATAAATATAATTTATTTCTAAATTAATATTAGAAAATTATAGTAGTTTAGTGGTTGGAGTATCGACTTTCAACTCTAAAATAGTAGGTTTGAATCTCGTCGTGACAATTCTCTAACTTAAGTCAATTTTTGACTGAAAAAAATAAAAACACTTTCCAGAAAATATATACAAATAAATATATATTTACGCGGATATATATTTATTTGTATATAAATATAATTTATTTGTAAATTATTATCGGGAAATTATAGTAGTTTAGTGGTTGGAGTATCGGCTTTCAACTATAAAATACTGGGTTTGAATCTTACAAGTGACAATTCTCTAACTTAAGTGACTTTTTGGGTGAAAATACTTTCCACGTCGGTTCATCCGAAACCGACGTGGAAAATACTTTCTACGTCGGTTGACTAAAAACCGACGTTGAAAGTGTATTTAATGTCGGCTTAGCTTTAACCGACGTTAAATGACGACGTGGAAAACATATTTTATACTAGTGAATTACTCTCAATCTCCTCTACATTTCTACGATTTTATTATTTTTCAAAACGGTGCATTTTCAATTTTTATCCTCACTTGGCTGAGCTTGAATGGGAGCGGGAAAAGTGTTATTGTAGGTTTTACACCTAAGACACTAGAATAATGCTTAGAATTGAGGATTAGAAGTAGTTAAGCTAAAAACCTTAAGAATCCTAATTCATAGGTTACTGTTTACTGAATTCTGGGACTTGTGTAAATAAAATTAGGAATTGGTGTCTTCATGAAAGTTGTATCCCTTTAAGTTATCGAAATTTAGAAACTTGTTTCACATCAAACGGATATTTGTAGCTCGAGTTAGGTCAATTTTATTGTCAAGTTTTCTAGCTAAGACGTTAAGAGGTTGCCCTGTTTCAATAGCCTCAGTTTTTGAATTACTGGGATTGATACGTGTGAAGTTAGGACTTGATTACTTCATAAAAGTTGTAGAAAATTATATTCCCAAAATTTAGAAATTTGTTTCATCTCAATAGCTTATGTGTAGCATGAGTTATAGTCAAATTACTAAGGCATGTTCAGAGTGTTATTATAGTTGAGCCATGTTGGAAACAATCACTGCAAACTGAAAAAATGCATTTATTCTACAGGGTATTTGAATTTATTTCTTTCATAAATATTGTAGGTAATTAAGTTATTGAAATTTTGGCTCAGACCTCATGCCAAAACAACTTATATAACTCTAGAAAATTCCGAAATACTAAACCTTGTCCATATTTGTTATTAGGATTCTTCTTACTCTAAGTGTATTACTTGCATTACTCTCTTCCACTTGTATTACTTCGATTAGCATCAATTTAGGCCCTAGAAATGATTTTATAACTCAAAGAACCATAGTCTTGAACTTTAGAATTTTAGGCTATGAAGGAGGTGAGATTTTAGAGGTCTAATATGGTTGGAATTAAGGACTTAATTGGGATATTTAATTGGCATGTAGGAGGTTACTTAGAGGTGCAACGAGGAGACCCAAAGACTTGTTAGATTATTTGATCAAGAGTTGCTCTTCACCAAGTTACAACATAAGGTAAGGGGTAATATCACTTTTATGGTTCACTTTTGCATTGAAATAGCATTAGGAAGAAGTCCCTTTACTTCTAAGTTAATTAGAAATTTATTTGGAATTATTGGATTGTTGTTTCTATTTTTGATGAATTTTTAAAGTTTTAGGATAATGTGAATTTTGTGGCTCCTAAATGAAGCAACTTGAGTGTATGGAACCTTGTATGATTATAAGGCATCCATGATTGTTGTTTGAATCTATTGCTTAATCATTAGTAATTTTATATGTTTTATTGATGAATTTAGATTCAGAATTAGCCTATTTCTATGTTTAGTATTATGATAATTGTTTTAAATTGATTATTCAGATATATTGTATGTATGTTATAAAGCATGATAAGTAGAAAATTATTGTGGAGTGTTTTTGTTAAGATGGATTAGCATGTAGAATAGCATTGTATAATTTGGTGGAATGGAGGAAAGGTGTGAGAAATGAACTATGTGAGAAAGAAAAATAACTTTTAAGATATATTAAATTGAATTTTAAAATTTAGTTATGAAGTAAATTTTTATATTTTTATTTAATTAATAAATATTTTTCAAAAGTATTGGAATAATGTTGATTTAGTAGAAAACAATTAATTGTAAGTGAAAATGAATTTTTAATAATTTTGAGGAAATTATTTGCAATTATTATTATTATTTAAGAAAAATAAATTAAAATTGAGAAAATTATGATTTTGAGTGATGATGAGTATGATGAGGTGGAAAGATGGTTTTGTGTAAAGTAGAAGTGTTCTGCGCTGTTTCTGATTATTTTGCAAGTGTTAAAATTTTTTTGGGAATGTCCGATTTATAGGGCAGAGTCTGTCAAATGTTTTTTAAGAAATAGCCTAGTATTATTTTGGAAGAAGTTAAGACGTGATTTAAGTATAATGAGGTGAAACAAAGTTGAAAGAGTGTGAAGAAGTTATGATAAGTCATGCATCATGTTCATGAGTCAGAGATTGAGTGTATGAGGAGGATATGGAAAATTAGGGTCGGTTCCATGCTAACCTCGGGGATGATTGAGTGTGATCGAGCTCATATGTGGCTTAGGCTCGCTACCTAAGCTGTTAGACTTTCACTACCAAGCTTGATTATCTTGACTAAAGCCCTAGGATTTCTCATGATCAGTTGAGCTGGACAAGTAATTATGAGTATAGTACCGTGAGGCGGTGAGAGGTTCCAATGAAACTCCTGATCCTTCTCGGAAAAAAAAGAAGAAGAAAGAAAGTGGTTTTGGGATCCCCATGGTCTTGCATACTAGGATGTGTCCTAGAAAAGATTAGTGGATACATTGCATTCATAATATCATATCATTTGTGTGTTGATTGCTAGTATGTTTGTATATGTAGTTTCTAATTAACTCAATGTTATTTGCATGCTCTAAGTGAATATAAAGTTGTCTTACCCTTTCTGTGCATGTATTGTTGTTATGAAATGTTTGCATAGGTGACGTTAAACACAATTCATCCCCGATATCATCTCCAAGTAAAGTTTAAATACAATCACTGCAAGTACTAAGTAGAGGACTTGATCGGACACCACTACAGTGCTACAAGAGATACTTCATTTTAGTGGACGTTTGAAATATATCTCCTTTTTAGTTAGTTTGTATAGTTAGTTTGTCTGATCTGGTCTTGTGAACCCTTATTAGGTATATTTTGGGATGACTTTGTGTATATTTACCATCTGGTTATACTTGATACTTATGAATGATATGTATATTAATCACTAAGTGTATGTTCTATTTATTGTGTACCTTACTTCTACGAGTGTGTATTGGTAATCAAATACTAAGAGTAACCAATAATAAGTAATAAATAATAATAAAGTGAATATTGGTAGTAAAGGTGTCACAGTGACAGTCGCCTTCCACTGTGGACCAGAAATATTCTGCCCTTAGGATCTTCTTTACCATGACATACCCTGGCGCGTGAGTCCCGAAGGCTCCTTTATGGATTTCCTTAATTAGAGTTTGAGTCTCCTCGTGATCCACACACCTTAACAAAGTGGAGTCAAAATTCTTTTTATAAAGGATTTCTCCAATCATTGCAAACCCTGCAACCCTCTTTCGGATGGTCCTTTCGTCATTATCATTGATTTCCTCAGGATATTCACCCTTTGTGAGGTATCGCTTGATGTTGTGATACCAAGGGTTTTTGTTAGGGATGGCAAAACGGGTCAGCCCGTCCCGTTTTGGCCCGCCCCACCTTTGGCCTGCCATAAGCGGAGCGGGGCGGGCTGACTCGTTATAGTGATGACGAGTCGTAGACCTTGGTCCGTCTCGCCAAGGGGCGGGTTTGCGAGCTGAACCACCATAATTTAGAAAAAAATAATTTATTTTTTAAAATAAATTTTTTTAATAAATTTAATAATATGATTATTATTTGTTTGTCAATAATTTAATATATATATATATATATATTATTTATTATTATGTAAATTTTATTATTGTTCTAAATTATAATTTAGAACAATAATAAAATTTACATAATAATAAATAATATATATATATATATATATATATAACGTTAAAAATTATAAAATTTATAGTTTTTATATTGAAAAATTCAAATATCTATATCTTTTTTATTTGATAAAACTTCACATTATTCTTAGTTGAGTAATTCTTACACCTTTAATTCAAGTAATAA